GTGCTTTGCCCTTACCACGAGAGGCGAAATTTGAGTTCGGAAGATTCGCCGTCGGTTGGCTCCTCTCGGCTTTCTTCCTTCGGAGGAAGCGTTCGACTTGTTCCCCGCGCACCTTCAAGTCTTTCCAAGTGTTAGACGGTGTTGTTCCCATTGCCTCCAATACGTCCAATGCGAGGTTGTTGTGGCAAGTCTGGAGAATGAACTCCTCAGTGATCGGATCCCGACAGTTCATCGCCTTGTTCCGGAACCTTTTGACGAAGGTGTCGACCAATTCCCCGTCTTTTTGTTTCTCATCGAGCAACGTTCCGATGGATATCTCGGTGTCGTCATCAAAGAAATTAGCGAGGAACTTAGTTTCCATGTCGTCCCAGCTATTCACGCTTCCCGGCTTGAGGCGGCGATACCAATCGAAGGCGGCTCCACGAAGAGTACCAACGAAGGACCGTACCATCAGAGGCTCATTACCGGAGATGACTCCTAGGTGCGATTTGAAGTAAATCAAATGCTGAGTGGGTGAACCTTTCCCGTCAAACGGCGTGAAGTTAATTAGGCTGAACTTTGCTGGGTAGGGGATTGATTCCCATTCTCTTGGGTATGGACAAGGAATGCCCGTCTTCTTCATCTCTTGAGCGGAAATCAACGTATTGATTTTGCTCTCGAGTTTTTTAATCTTCAAGCTTTCACTTGAGTCTTCGTTAGCATTCTCGTTACCACCCCCTGCATTGACGGGAGGATTGTTGGCATTGTGAGCTTCATTCGCACCTGTGTCCTCATCTTCCAGATTAATCTGGTTACGACGATTGCTGGTTCGTCAATGCTTGGATTTGTTGGTCATGCATTTCTCTCATGTTCTGCATGGCCATCTGCATTTCGAACCTGAAGCTCTCCTGTTGTTTAGCCATGGCTTCTTCGAGCATCTTGGCTACTTGTTCCGCGCTTATCATCAGTGACTCGCGGGGCTGTCCCTCGCTGGATACTGTATTGTCTGATGCTACAGCAGAGCAGGAATCTGATTCTTCATCTTCTGACGGTAATCTTGTCCGAACCCTACCATAAGTTCCTCGTATGCTGGCTCCGGACTGCAGACGGGTCATCCGCCGGGGTACTTCTGTAATCGACTCGGGATTATCCTGTGTCAACGTCCCTTTGCTGGTCATATTAGTGGTGACCCTCGGAAATTCTCCATCTTCGACTACCCTTCTTCTTTGTCGGAAACGCCTAGACCTTGGTCTTGGCGTTTCGGTATTGAGCCTTTCGAAGACCGAAATTCTTTCAGGAACTGTCTTGATGCAGTTACACTCAGACAATACTGTCCGAATGAGTTTGGAACAGGGGCACTGAGTTTCTAGTCCTCGTGGAGTCCTCTTCTTGGTTTTCCTCGTACCACCAACACGATAGTACAACTCGTCGGCTTGACGGTCGGAGTAACCTATCGTGTGTTGGCACGACTTCTCAGGTATAACGTCGTCATCAGACGACAATGTTTCCTTCTGAGGGCGAACTGTCTTCTTTGGGCTTTCAAGAGTCACGCGCCTCGAGACATACCTTTTTGGGTGTGAATTCTCAGCGGGCTCCTGGACTTCAATGCGCAAATTGGCGTGCACAGCTGCCTTGAACTCGTTGTCATGTTGGAGGTGACGGCGACCCCCAGCATGTTAAGTCGTTCGGGGCTTCTTCATCGGGCCCAAACATTCTTGAACTGGAGCTTTGCTTCTTTCATCGGGAATTGGACCGAGGCGCTCCAAAACTGATCTTCTTCTTCGGGATGATTCCGCGGGATCTCCCGAAATAGCTATGGGAATTACCGGCGACTTTGTTTGGTTCGCCGGAGGCTGGATTTGCGTTGAAGGCTGCAACGATTGTGCCTTAGCCTGAATCGCCGCTTCAGACTTCGACCTCCATACTTGGCGAGTTGGTGGCGGCTTCTTGGCCACTTCCTTCTGCAGTCTTCTACGGGCTTCTTAGACTCGAGCCCGTGCCTGCGCTGACATTGCGCGGCGCTTGCGAATGCGCTCTTCGAGTGTCGAACGATTCCGTTTGACACGGACCCATTCGTTCGTTGGCGGCTTAGAAGAGCTACCATTCATCGGTGGTTGAGGCTGTTTGCCTCTCCTGTTCTTCAGATCCGCGTTATAGCGGATTCCGTCGGTGGACTCCATGGCCTTTGCGAATTCTTTGGCCAAGCGTTGGCGTTTCCTTTGGCGGGCTCTCTTTGAGAGAGTCACTACGCCCTTAGTGACGGAGGAATTGGCCATAACAGGCTTGACCCGGTTGGAGGTCGGTGGAGCTTCACCCGATGCAACTTTGGCATTAATCGGGGTAAGATCTTCGTTGGTATTCTCAACTTCTTCGTACCAACGGACTTTTCTCCTGGAGGAGAACTTCTTGGACTTGATGGGGGAGGTCGATCCGGACGAGGATGACAGATACTCCTTGAACTTTTGCTGGTCGAATTCATACTCGACCTCCTCCTCGACCGAGATCGAGATCCGCGGCTACGACAAGACGATCTCGGCAGCGAGATCGGTGGCTCCCACTGTGGTCGCCAGATTGTTCGTGGGAAAAATTATTTTCATTGTTGAAGTCATTGTACTCTTTGACAACAGTTTATCAGTTACAAAGATCCGCTCTTTTTATAAGATCCGGTTATAATAAAATCAAAAGAAAATGAAAATTACAACTTTCCTTATTTGTCGAACGAATCTCGCTTTTGTGGGTTCTTTGCCTGCGCCGGGGTTAATCCGTGGACCACCGCGCGATCTTGATCCGGTCGGATCTACACGGTACAACGGGTGTTATCTCACGAAGGAAATAACAGCCGAGGGGATTATTTCACCAAGGAAATAATAGTCCGTAGTTATTGAAATCGACCAAGCGAAATCGAGACTCTTCTCGGGATCAAAGGCCAAGCTTTGATCTGGAGGGAAACCATGTAGATCTCAGATCTGATCTCTTTCGAACTCCTGCCTTATTTGGCGTGGATGATCGCCAAGAACCAGATCTGAAAGTCCGTGTATTCTAAGCTTTGAAATCTGAGGTTGAGCTCTCAATCCAGCAGAGTTTCGGCTCCAAAAGTTCCAACCCCTCAAAAATGAGCCCTCAAGTCCTATTTATAGGCACTCAAAACTGTGCCTTGGCACAGGTGGCCGAGGCATCGAGCCACCAAAAGGTGGCCGAGGTGGCCTAGCCACCAAAAGGTGGCCGAGGCATCGAGCCACCAAAAGGTGGCCGAGGCACCTAGCCACCAAAAGGTGGCCGAGGCACCGAGCCACCAAAAGGTGGCCGAGGCACCTAGCCACCTAGAGGTGGTTCGGTTTTGGCCGAGTCCTCCAAATGTTGGTTTTTTTTGTTTTTCGGTTTATCCGAACTCTGATTTGTTGATCTGAACTCTGATTTGGAAGTCCGGATCCCAATTTGGTAGTAAATCCGCTTCGGTGTTCAAGTTTGAGTTCGGATCCTGATTTGGAAGTAAATCCGCTTCGGTGTTCGAGTTTGAGTTCGGATCCTGATTTGATCTTGATTCGTTCGAGTCCGCTCCCGATCTTGATTGATGTAGTGGACTCTACGGTTGAATGATTCGTTGATTGATCGACCCGTACCGTCGTTTGTGTGTGATTCATTAACCTCGTCACCTCATTAATCCGCTTCATCGCGTCTTATTTAGCTTCGATATTGTGGTTTAACGATCATTCTTGGACTCATCGCCCGATGGTTCGTTGGTTTGTCGAATCACCGTGCCGAGCTGTGCTAAGGGACCCATAGGCAGTTTTATACGCCTACATTCGTGGTCATCGTCGTTGCCCAAGCTTTAGATCTGAACCTTTCTGCCTCGCCGTCACATCCGGATCTCGTCGCCGTCACGTCGTGGTCGTCACCGTCGCCCAAGCCTCAGATCTGACTTCCGCCGTCACCGTCACTTCCAGATCTCGTCGCCGTCTCCCGTTGATCCCGTCGCCATCTCCCGTAGATCCCGTCGCCCGTCATCTCAACCCACTGTAAGCATTATTTTTGCCTGATCTGATTAATTTTTCTTTTTTTGCTGAATAAATGAATCGTTTTAGAATTTATTCACTCCTCTCATGTTCTAATTATCAACTCTTGCAAATATTTCATAAACTTCCCAAGTTTAAACTTTCCAGGTTTAATGACTTACTTGGGATAAAGAAAACTAAACCATGTTAATGCATCCAGCTTATTCATTTTTCATCATCGATGATCCATATTTAGATCGAACAAGAAAATGAATTCATCTTAGTAACGTAACTCAAGTTCAACAATATAACACAACATTGGGGACAAAAACAGGTCAACAGAAGTTTCAAGCAATCAGGCCTGTAAACCATGTCTAAATGTTTTCTAAGAGCATGTAAAAACTAAGGAGAGAACAACATGTACTTAGAAGAAGCGATTCCAAGCTAACAGATACTCAAGAGATCATTTAATTCACCAATATTAACAGTATAAAATAAATTTCATCAGGTTCATGAAAAAAAGTCAGTTCATGAAAAAAAATCATGAACTGTATATGATGTAGGAGTTCAAAAACCCAAGCTAACGTAAAATTATAACTCAATTTCTTTTGTCGGGGGTCTCTCTTGATGATGTAGGGAGAATTTAATTTCAGCACTTTTGTTTGGAAAGTTTGTCATGGTTGTGTATGATGTATGAGTTCATGATGTACATGTAGCTGCATATATTTGTGTGAATGAGGGCTTGTGATGACTGAGTAGCTACATATATTAGGTTGAGGACATACATATTTATTTCTAGATTATCTATGGTTGGTTGTGATGTTGAAATATTTTGTTGCTTCTGTTGTATTTATTTGTAGTTGCATATATTTGTGTGAATGAGACTATCTTGTGATGACTGAGTAGCTGCATATATTAGGTTGGGAGATAAATATTTGTTTTGTTGATTATCTTATAGTGTTCTATCTATGCTTGTGATGAATGGGGAATTGATTATATATTTGTAACTGCGTTTATTTGTGTATAGGTATGGATACCGATATTGATGTAGATGATTATCAATCGTCATCAACTTCTGATTCCGACTCTGAATCAGATGAAGAGCAATTTGAAGCGTTGTTGGCCATTTATGCAAGTATGGAGTGTAGTAGATTTTTGAATGAGAAGGCTTGACCGCAAAGGATCTCAAAATTAAAGGGACACGATTGGGTGATTGAGGTCCTAGGGGGACACCCAGCTACTTGGTTTGACCTTTTTCGGATGAAAAAAGAGGCATTTGTTTCCCTTTGTGATGAGCTAAAATGAATCGGAAAATTAGAACATTCAAGAGGTGTAACGGTTCAGGAACAAGTAGCAATATTTTTATTTGTTCTCTCTCATAATGAACGATAACAGATAGCTACGGATCGTTTTCAACATTCGCTAGAGACTATCTCTAACTATTTTAAGAAAGTCCTCTATGCAATTTATTCTCTTAGTAAATATGTGATTACACCTCCATCATATGATGAAGTTCCATTGGAGATATCAACTAAAACGAAGTATTATCCGTTCTTCAAGGTATGACTATATTTTCAATGCAAATTCATTATATGTATTATTTTCTTTATCATTGATATATATGTTAATATATATTATTTCTTTTTGCATTATACAATTGCGTAGGGGCAATAGATGGCACTCATGTTTCGGCTCGTGTACCTGTAGATGATCAAATCCTATATCGTGGAAAGAAAATTGTACCAACGATGAATATAATGTGTGCTTGTTCCTTTGATATGCGGTTCACATATGTTATGAGTGGATGGGAGGGTAGTGCAAATGATTCGAGAATTTTTTTAGAATGCATTAGCAATCCACAAAACAAATTTCCAATGCCACCTACAAGGAAGTACTATTTGGTTGATTCTGGGTATACCAATATGTCGGGTTTTCTTTCACCATATCGCAGAGAGCGCTATCACTTGCGTGAGTATAGAGGGCAAAATATTCCTCCGCAAGGTTCCAGAGAGCTATTCAATTACTTGCATTCTTCATTAAGAAATGTTATAGAGCGATGCTTTGGGGTGTTGAAGAAAAGATTTCCGATTTTGAGGGATATGCCTTCATATAGTCTGAAAAAACAGAAGTACATTGCATTGGCATGTTGTGTTATTCATAATGTGATTCGAATGCATGATTCTGGAGATTCATTATTTTTTGAGTATGATAATGAAGACTTGGAGCTCGAGGAAGATGACAGGCAAGCACAAGAACAACATACTATTCCAGTTAATGTTAGCCCGGAGCACCTTCATCAGATGGCAGATTTTCGAGATCGTTTGGCCCAAAGGATATGGACTAGTCATCATGGATGACAAAATTATGTACCATATATTGAGAACTTAATACATATTGTATATATCAAGAACAACATACAATGATTTTTGAATGTATATAGTGCTACATATCTCAAGTCCATAATGTCTGAAAGTAATAACCTCTTGCAAGTTTATCTTGTATCAGAAAAAGAAAACCGAGGATGCAATCCTTACATCACCAGATCCAGGATAGAAATTTCCACCTTCATACATGCGGTAATGATATGTATAAGACCTGCAAGATAAACTTGCATCAGAACTACCATGTGTTTAGCCAAAATCCAAAAAAAAACAAATGCGGCGAAAAACACAACTCATAGTCGCATCACATCCCTTTCTTGCCAATCCTTCGCCAGCAAACAATATGAGCATGATTACAAATTGAGTTGGCTGACAAATACTGAAAAAGGCTTGTTATGGCGACATCGGTGGTGCATCGACTAGTTGTCTCCGGTGACATCGCTGGCACCGATCACCAGCACCGGTCGCCAGCACCGGTCGCCGGTATTGGGTGGTTTTGCCGGGTTATATATGGTGGTGATGGTGATGATGGCGGTAGCGGGAAAGGTATCGGTGTTGATAAGCATTGCAACTAGTGTTTCAAAACCACAACGGTGTTTTCAAAACAACTTAGGAGAAAAAACCAAACACCAATGTGTTTTTCTAGAAAAACACAACAACAAAAACACCTTGGTAGCCAAACAAACCCTGAGTGTTTGGCAACCGTGGCGTTTTTACCATTTCTGTTTTTTTAACAAAAACAAAGAAACGTGTTTGTTCGCGGGAAAATTCGTTGCTTTCTTTGTTATTGATTCCATTGTCATCTTGAGTTATAACTTTTTGAGTTACAAAAGATCCGGTCTTTTTATAAGATCCGGTTACAATGAAAATCAAAGAAAAATAAAAAGATTACAACTTTTCTCCTTCTTTGTCGAACGAATCGCGAGCTCCTGTTTTGCGGTCGCTCGTTTGTATGGGTTCTTTGCCTACGCCGGGGTTGTTTGCCGTGGACCACCGCGAGATCTAGATCCGGTCGGATCTACGCAGTACTACGGGTATTATTTCACCAAGGAAATAATAGCCGGGGAGGATTGTTTCACCAAGGAAACAATCGTCCAAGTCTCGGGATCTAAGACCAAGCTTAGATCCGGAGTGTAGCCTGCGTAGATCTGAGATCCGGTCCTCTCGAACACCTGCCTTATTTGACGTTGATGATCGCCGAGCACCAGACCTGGATGAGCAAGTCCTTGATGTCCCAAAGCTTGAATCTTGTTAAGTTCTGAATCTCCAATCCAGCAGGGCTTCGCCTCTCCAAATTTTCCAACCCTTCAAAATGAACAACCCCCTCTCCTATTTATAGCCAAGCGTCACTGTGCCCGTGTGCACGTGTGGCCGACACCCTAGGTGGCCGGCCACCTCAAGGTGGCTCGGCTCATGCCGAGCCACCCTGAGGTGGCTCGGCCACCCCAAGGGGTGGCTCGGCCTTGGCCCTCAGTGACTTGGTTTCCGAGCCTCTTTTCGGGTGTGTTGTTCTGTCGTTTTCCGCTCTTGGTTCTATCTGTGATTCAGTTCTGTGGTTGATTTATCCAGACTTGATTCGTTGACCTGATTTGGCAGTAAATCCGGATCCCGATTAGGCAGTAAATCCGCTTCTGAGTTGGAGTCCGAAACCGATCTTGATTCGATCGTCATTCGTCCGAGTATGCCTTTGGTTGGATGACTCGTTGACTCTTCGAACACTTGGCTTGATCCCGCACGCGAATGGATGTATTCCGTTGCTTGCGTGCGATTCGTCGATCTCGTCGCCTCGTTGGTTCGTCGGTTTGTGCCGAGCTGAGCTAAAGGACCTATAAGCAATTTTATATGCCTACAGATACCCCCTCCAAAGTATTTCAGTCTCGTTCTTTTATAGAAGAGTCTGGAATACTTTGGATATGATTGTCCCCACCTTCAGTCGGTGTAATGGGACCTTGGAATGACTTCCGTTCTTGATTCCTTCAATCTTCCAGGCTATTCGGTGCTTTGTCGAATGTCTGCAAGAGTTCCGGTGCTGCATTTATTGTCTGACCGTTGTCGGAAATTCGAACTTGAAGTCAATTCCTGGTTTTCTGATTTTTAGTTCGTGCTTGTTGGTTGAACACAGAACTGACCCTTGACTGTCGGCGTTGAGTCTTTATTTGCGACGCGTTGTCCGGCGTAGTGTTGTTGAGTTATCCTTAAGAATGAAAATATTCTCCAGGAACTTCTCAACCAACAATAGGGAATAGTTTATACTCGTATACCTTATTGGAGTATTAAGAAACAGTTTATACTCGTATACTTTTCGGAGTGTTAAGAAGCAGTTTATACTCGTGTACTTTTCGGAGTAAGGAGCAGTTTATACTCGTATACTTTTCGGAGTAATAAGAAGCAGTTTATACTCGTATACTTTTCGGAGTATAAGAAGCAGTTTATACTCGTATACTTTTCGGAGTATAAGAAGCAGTTTATACTACCCGTCACCCGACCGCCGCCGTCGCTGCCCGCCCACTGCCGCTATATAAATGGTCAAACTAGTTTGACCAAAATGGTGTTTTCAAAACATATTTGAAAAAGAAACATCATGGCATAGTGTTTTTTACAAAAACATAACCAAAAAAACACATTGATTACCAACTAGTAACGCAGAAATGTGAAGTTGCTCCAATAAAAATGCAGTATAATATTTGAAAACAACTTGTTTTAAATGAAACAATCATGAAATTGATTGTATAGAAACTCGTTTCCGTGATCTTTGTTCATGTAATTCCATTGGTAGTGCACACACTTCATCTTGATTTCTTTCGATCTCACCTTGAGTGCCAAAGTGAATAGTGAATACGGAGTTGGTCAACGGAAATGCTTTTTCGCCAGCTAAGTAACACATTGTCAGCGGGTTGACTCTGTGTTAGTCCTTTTTTACCATCTAATTTATACTTGATCCCCACATCAAGTACTTAATCGTGTAAGTATCTCAGTAATCTCATGGGGATTAGACATGAATGTACTAAACATGAGCATGCATGAATTTAGCATGAACGTCTAAGTGAGAGAAAGTAATAGTTTTCTATTGATTTTTCAAAACAAAAGCCAATAATTATTTGCCACACAATAAATATACAATGAATATAGAACCCTCTACAGTAATAACATATGTTACCTAGGCACTTCTATATGAAGCCTTATCCGTACCTCATGTTAAATGGATGATTTTGGGTGGATTGGATGGGTCATAAATGTATGAGCACATTTATGCCCATTTACCTATTTATGACCTATTTAACGTTTGCTGAATAGGTCACTTCTCATCCACCCATTTATTAAATGGGTGGTCCATATGTAACCCAATAACTCATTTAGCTATTGCACTTTTATATATAAAAAAATTTTAGTGGCCTATTTTCTAAACTTATAAATGGGCTAAATACCCATATTGGTATTTTAATTCAAACACATTTGCCAAGAAGGTATTTTAATTAGGAAAATCGGCGTTAAGGCATTTTAATTGATTAAAATTATTACCAATTAGGTCCTTTTCTCGTCGGCGACCACTTTTCCGACGAGAACTCGTCACGTGCGTTGCACGCGGTGGCTTAATCTGTGTTTAAGCTGCTGATGTGGCACTGTTTTCTGACGTGGCAGGGAGAATAAAAGAGGAATCGTATTGGGGAAAATTGGATATTAGGGTTTATCAAATTGGGCCATTGGAAGAGAAGAAATTATGTCGTCGTCATCAAGTTCAAGCTCTCGTTCTAAAGCAAGCAGGGTCAGTGGAAAATTGGGATCGCATGTAAGTATTAATCATGGTTTGAATGTGTTGGCAGGTATTAGAAGGTGGAACGAGGAAGCAAGGATGGTTGGCACTTTCCTCCTGCAATCGAGCTCAGATGAGTTGCTGCCTTCTTTTGTTCTTCAATCAACTTCTTCACTGAATCCAAGCAGGTCTGAGATGCCCTCTGCCCATTTTCTCTCAATTATTATTACTTTCTTTTTATCCTAAAGTTGAGTCAGCCATTAGCTGGGTCTGATTGTTTTTATGGGGTTTTAGTTGTGTGGTTGATACTTTTGCTTGTGAATGAGGATGCCCAGAATCTAATTTCCATGGAAAAGAGTAATTTTTGTTGGCTGTTGTTTGCTATGTAAATTGATGAGATACTGTTGATTGGTTATCTTTGAGAACGATCATAAGCATTACTCATGATAATATTGTGACTTTTAAGACAGCCACATACCCAGTTCATTGTGAAGATTGTTATTATACCACGTCAGAAAACAGTGCCACATCAGCAGCTTAAACACAGATTAAGCCACCGCGTGTAACGCACGTGACGAGTTCTGGCCGGAAAAGTGGTCGCCGACGAGAAAAATGACCTAATTGGTAATTTTAATTAATTAAAATGCCTTAACGCCGATTTTCCTAATTAAAATACCTTCTTGGCAAATGGGGTTGAATTAAAATACCAATATGGGTATTTAGCCCTTATAAATGACACGTGAAATCTAAAAATTTTTAGCAGCCCTTTATAAATTTAAAATTTACAAAAACACTCTTAATTTTTTTAAAATACAAAAAATATTGTCAAGGGTTTAAATTATAAAAACAACCATGAAATTAAAGCTTACAAATGACACATAAAATCTAAAAAATTACAATAGCCCCCATAAATTTATAATTTCTAAAAACCCACCCTCATAGTTTAAAAAATTATAAATAACACCCTCAAGAATTCAGAATTACAAAACATTCTTAGAATCTTCCAAACCTACAAATAACACATGAAATCTGAAGTTTCCCAGTGGTCCTCTATACATTTAATTTTTTTTTTAAACACTCTTGGCTTTAAAATTTACAAAAAAACACCCTCAAGAGTTTAAAATTAACTACCTCAAAATTTCAAAACCTATAAATAACACATGAAATCTAAAAAATACCAGCAACCCCCGATGAACTTATAATTTATAAAAAACACCATCAAAGT